ATGGTTGTGACGAAGGAAGGTGAACGGCTTGAGATCACTTCTAAGGTTAGAGGTGTGAAAGTTGTGTTGTCTGAGAAGAGGTTGGCTCAGTTGTTGAGTTTGTCTGCTACCGGAGTGGCTCAGTACAGTGGTCATTCTTGGATTAGTACGGATACCATGGGATACCGTGACTATTTGACCTATCTGTTGGGCCATACGAGTGGTTTCACTCAAGCTTCGAGGCCGGAAAAGAAGTGGTTGTCTGCGGAATAAAGGATCTTGGTGATGTTGGTGTCAGATTGTTTGTTGCCTAATAACAACAAGAGCAGTTTGTTGGGTAAGTTGGAGTGCACCTTTGCTTTCTGTCTGAAGAATATGGTTAAGTTCAATCTGCCTGCTTTGATGATGCAACACATGGTGTTTTGCCGGGATCACAACCGGAAGAGTTTGCCGTATGGAATGGTGCTGAGTTGGATCTTGGTTAAGAAAGGTGTTAGTGTGGATGGCTGTCTCCCGAAGGCTGTGGGAAAGATGGTGTTGGATACCGCCAATCTCCGGAGTTGTAATCTTTTTTCAGTTGGGTAGTGGTGAGTACATCACGCTTGAAGAGGTTGCAAGGAAAGCACCTGTTGAACGGGCAGAGTTAGCTGCCGAGCTTGGTGTCCATGCCGGGAAGTTGAGCCTCGCAGTCCAGAGTTTGGGCGGTGATGAAGAAGTTGAGGAGGAAGCGGATCAAGAAAAAGAAGTAGGAGCACCAGAGACCGCCGAAGCTGAAGTAAGTGAATCAGACAGTGAGGAAAGCCGGAGAAGGAAGGAAGCTCGCACCAAGAGAGAGCAGGACGTCGTCTCTTTGCTTCGTCAGCAGAACAGTTTGATCGCCGAGGGCTTTGTGTTTGTGAAGGCGCAGTTCGTCGCAGTGCATCAGAGGCTGGACCGGATTAAAGCCAGTTCAAGCCACAGAGACGAAGACGAGGAAGAGTCTGAAGAGGCCGAGGAGTCGGAGAGTGAGGAGTTCTAGTTTGTGTTGCGGTAACCCTGTTCGCTTCTTTCTTGTTGTTTCCTTCTTGGCCGTTGTTAGCTTGGTGTTAGGTTGTTGTGTGCTTTGTGTGTTTGCTTGTTTTGCTTGTTGCCTTGTTGTTTAGCTAGTGTGTTAGTTGGTGTTTGGAGTTAGTTGTTGAGTTCTTGGTTGTTGTCTAGAAATTGGTTGTTGAGTTGAGGTTAGAGTTCTTGATGCTCAATCTATCCGTTCTTTTAACTCTTGACCAATCCTTGAATTCGTAATGTCTCCTTCTTTGCTTTGGAACCCTTGTGAGTACTTTTGGAGTTTTTGACCAAAAGGACTATTTTTGGATTTCTTGTCACAATTTCGTTTCCTTGTTACCATTCGCTTTTAATTCGTTGTACCCAAGTTTCGGGGACGAAACTTCTTTGAAGGGGGAGAGGATGTGACACCCCAAAAATCCACACTCCAATCCATGAATTAATTAAGTAATTAATTCTATTTCTTTTGAGGAATTGATTCCTAAAATCCTGCTTTTTAATACTCAAGGACTAGTATTTGACTAGTCAACCTTTAAGTTGTGTTGTACCTTGTGCTTTGAGGGGAGTTCCCTTGTTCCTTACACTTTCTAAGGGTTAGTAAGGGTATTCTTGTCTTTTCACCAAGAGTTAGTATTGTATCCTAACCTAGAAGACTTCTTCATTTCATTCCTTACAATTCCTAGAAAAATATCTCTACCTTCTCTCTAGAATAGAAGTGTAGCTTATTCTCCAAGCCAAGTTGAGACCCTTGTCAAGATTCCAAGTTTTGCTTCCAAGATTCAACCTTTCACCTATTTGGGCATCTAGAAGGGTAAGATCTAAGCTTGTCTAGTCTTTTTGGTTCCATCTTAGTTGTCTTTTTCTTATAAGTGAGATCTTTATGATTTTTTGGTTTGATCTTGAAGTGGGTTTGAGAAGTGAGCCTAGTGGAGAGCTTGTTATGGTGTAAAGAGAAGTCTTCTGGTCTTCAAGAGGTAACACATGCTCTACAAAACCTATTTTGCTTACCTATATGTGATTTCTTGGATTCTACTTGTGTTTTGCTATGAAATGTGAGGGTTTTATGCATTTATCTTGTGATATTGCATATCCAGAGCTTGTGTTTAGGGTTCCTTTGTGCCATTGCTTGGCATTTTCCTTGGTTCAAGTCATTTTGTTGTGTTTGGTGAGATTTAGCATGTTTTGGACTTGAATTTGTGTTTGGAAAAGAAAATCCCCGAAGGGATTTGTTGTGGAACAGGTATGTTCCCGCGGGCGGAACGGCGGGCGGGGCACCTCCCGTCGGCCTGCCCGCAGGTACACAGCCTCGTGGGATATTGTTCCCGCGGGCGGGACCACGGGTGGGGCACTACCCGTGGGTCCACCCGCGGGTACATGGTTGTGGTGATGTTGGGATTTGTTCCCCGTGATTTGGTTGTCTTGGTGTTTGATCTTTTGGCTTCCCGATGTTCTTTTGTGGAACTATTTGAGTGTCTTCTTGATGTTTCGTAGGTCTACAACTATATGGTAGGTATCCATGTAGGACTTTGGTGTCTTGAATCGTGCTAAGTGTTCAACATTGTGCTTCGTTGGACCAAGAGGTGTCTTATGTGTTCCTCGGAACTATCTTGAGTTTCCCCGTTGATAAGCATGCTAGTTTGTTGTCTTAATGCTAGCGTGTGTGTGGTTTGTACCTTCCGTTTGGTTGATGATAACTTGTGTTATACATCGTTGTTGTCGTTGGGTTGTAACCCGTTCCTTGATTGAGTTTGTTTCATACCTTCGTTGTAATCCGTTGTTTGACTCTCGTGTGAGTGGTGGTGCGTGTGTGGCTCTACCTGGATTGCAAGATTAGTGGTATGGGACACTAGTCACCAAGGTATTGCAGCGGTCCTCGTGGTGGCCGTGACGTGATTATGGAGCTGTGGCCTGAGTGATGGGTCCACGTGATTGGGGGATAACATGTGTTATCCAGGCATGTGTTGCCGTGATTGGTGGTGGTTCGTTGGTGGTTATAGGTGGGGGACGACGGTCCCGGCGGAATAAGGTTGGACTTAGCTGTACAGGGGATCCTGGAGGTAATGGTTGGAAAGAAGATACAAGGTTGGGGTAGCCATAAGGTTGGAACAGGGCATAAGGAAGGCATACCAAACTCGTGATGGGTGATGTTGCGAGGGCTTTTAAAGCCGGCATTGTGTGATCTTCTCTCGTGACGTGTGTAGTCACGGTGGCTTGTGGTGTTTTGGCATGTGTTGTCGTTGGGTGAGTCTTTACCTTGTGTGTGGTTAACCTTTGTGGTTGGGATGTGTTCCCGGTGTTATCCTTGTGAGTGGTGAGTCTTGTGTTGTCTTTTGATCATGGCTTTTGACTTATATATATGTATTCCGTTTCGAAAATGGTTTTTATATCTTATATCTACCTATTTATGATACTTAACGGTATTGGTGGGTTACCAGCATTATTCGCTGACCAGGCGTCGTCCCAATGTTTATCTTTGTATCTTTCAGGTGGTGTTTAGACGAGAGCGATGTCTAGAGCCTGGTAGCTTAACACTGTTGTGTTTCTGTGGCCTGTGCGCCAATGTTTTTAGACTGTTTTAGATTGATGTATTGGGATAGTATTATACACTTGCAGATTGTTGCCTTAGCGTTACCTAGTGTGGTATACGTGGCATAACACCCCTTTTTGGATTCCTTTTATCCAGTTCCCGTTTATCTTCCGCTGTGCTAGTTTTGTTGTTAATCTGCTTGTGTTAGGGCTTCAATTGGGCCTTGTTTTTGGGGGGTGTTACAATAATTCACCAACGATCTTGTGTGAACACGCCGCAGCAGAACGCAGTGGTTGAGCGCAAACATCAGCATATATTTAACGTAGCCAGAGCTTTAAGTTTTCAGGCCAACCTCCCTCTACAATTTTGGGGGCAGTGTGTGCTGTATGCTGCGTTTCTTATTAACCGCCTACCATCTCCCGTCATCAACTGGTTGAGTCCTTACCAAAGGTTACATAGCAAGACTCCAGAGCTCAGCAACCAAAGAGGTTTTGGATATTTGTGATATGCATCTACTCTATCACATTTTCGCCATAAGATGGCATCTCGTTGCAGAAAGTGTATTCTGATTGGGGTTCCGGCCAATGTTAAGGGTTATCTTCTCTATGATATTAATGATCACTCTGGATTCATCTCCCGGGATGTTGTGTTTTATGAAACACAATTCCCTTTTGCAGAACAGAAACAACATATGGACAGTACTGACTCTTCTCATAGCCCTTGTCTGCCTCTCATCCCTACTATTGATTGTGAATGTTTTAGTTTTCAGCAGATTGATGAAAGACCATCCCAGATGTCACTTGAACAGATCACTGATGATAACCAGGCAGTCATGAGCAGTCCCCCAAAAAACACAAGGGAAAATAATGAAAGTCCTTCTCTGTCAACATCTGAGAATAATATCATTAACAATGCAGATGAACAGAACTTGAGCACACATCAATCAGTTCCTTCCTTGCAACCCTGGAGATCAAGTAGAACTCGTCAGCTACCAAACCATTTGCAAGACTACTACTGCGATGCGGCTATGAAAGTTCGAACTTCCCCTCAACACCTTTCAAAGGTTGTCTCCTACAAAATCTTGAGCCCACGCACAGAAACATCTCCATGGCTGTTGCGTTGGCTACTGAACCAAAGACATACAACCAAGCTGTAAAAGATGCCCACTGGAGAAAGGCTATAGAGGCAGAGATTGATGCCCCCCCAGGCAAACCAAACTTGGGAGTTGACGGACCTTCCCCCCGGGAAAACTCCTATAGGGTGCAAAGGGGTATTCAAGGTTAACCTCCGGGCAGATGGAACCTTGGGGAGATATAAGGCGAGGCTCGTAGCAAAGGGTTACACACAGCAGCTTGGAGTCGATTACCTTGAGACCTTTTCACCGGTGGCTAGGATAACAACCATTAGGACTTTCCTAGCAGTAGAAGTTTCTAAAGCATGACACGTCCACCAAATGGACATAAACAGCGCCTTCCTCCACGGTGATCTAAATGAGGAGGTGTACATGCTTTTGCCTCCCGGATTCCACAGTCCAAAATCGAACCAAGTCTGCAAGTTGATGCGATCTTTATACGGGCTTAAGCAGGCAAGCAGACAATGGAATGCAAAGCTCACTGTTGCACTGCTTCATGATGGTTTTAAACAATCAAGGTTAGACCCATCTTTGTTTACGAGAGGAACGGAAGCCAACTTCATTGCTTTACTAGTTTACGTGGATGATATAATCATGGCTAGTGTAAATCTGAAGCTAATCCATGCGTTGAAGCTTCTCCTGGACAGTATTTTTAAGATAAAGGATTTGGGCTCACTGGGGTAGTTTCTGAGAATTGAAGCAAAGGCATCAGATGAAGGACTTAACATCTGCCAACGTAAATACGCCATAGATATATTGGAAGAGGCGAGATTCCTTGGCTGCAAACCAGCTAGCACGCCAATGACACATGGTTTAAAGCTAAGCCATAATGATGACATTCACATTGATGATGTAAGTAGTTATAGAAGACTGATAGGGAGACTCTTATACCTCACTGCAACAAGGCCAAATCTCACTTATGTCATTCAACAAATTAGTCAGTTTATTGATGCTCCCACAGACAAGCATTTCTCAACAGCACATCGTGTATTAAGATACATTAAGAGCTCGCCTGGGCAGGGCCTTTTCTATCCCAAAAATAGTGACATGCAACTAAAGGTCTTCTCCGATTCAGACTGGGCTGCCTGCTCCGAAATGCAAAAATCCATCACTGGATATTGCATATTCTTAGGGCATGCTCTGATTTCTTGGAGATCCAAGAAGCAACCAACGGTCTCTAGGTCATCATATGAAGCCGAATACCGTGCCCTGGCTGCAACTGTATGTGAAGTGCAATGGCTCACGTACTTACTTCAAGATCTGCAAGTGAAGGTTACTAAGCCGACAACAGTCTTCTGTGACAATAAGTCAGCCGTTGCCATTGCCGAGAATCACGTGTTCCATGAACGCACCAAACACATCAATATTGATTGTCATATCGTCTGAGAGAAGCTAAGCCATGGTCTAATCAAGCTTCTATCGGTCTCTTCTTCAAATCAGGTTGCGGATGGTTTCACAAAGCCTCTCCCGGTTCTCCAGTTTCAACACTTCATTGGTAAGCTGGGCATACAAGACTTGCATGCCCCAACTTACGGGGGGTATTAAATGATAGAATAGAAGTCAGTCCAGAAGAAAGATAACCACCCCAAGGCTGCTCCTGTAACTGTTCTTGTAACAGTGTTAGTTCAGTTGGTTGCAACCAACTTTGTCGCCCTCTCTTCTTTATTCCCTCATGTATAAATAGTCATCTATATACTCTGTTTTGAAGTAATGAAACACTTACCAACTTTATCCCCTTCACCCTCACAATGCTAAACCACGTACTGATCACTCATTAATCATCTCAGCCGGAATCTATCAGGAATAATGCCCAATGATTATTTTTAAACAAGTATTTCAAAGTATATCAATGCAATATTATATCGGAGATGTTCATACATAGGTAAATAAACATTGAATTTGTTTATTTAAATCGGTAATTTAAAGTATATAAATGCAATATAATATATGAGAGATTGATTATATTGTTACTAAAATAAATGTTTGCAACTTTGTAATAACGCTAGGCTAAATACTTAGTCTAAAAACGATTGTCTAAATAAATACTACTTTTGGTTTAAATTTCTCTAATTCTTCTCAATTCTCTTTTGGATATCATTGTCATTGTCTTTATCTTCAGTATATGTCCTCTTTTTTTTTTCTTTTAATATTGGTAGTGTGTCATGTGCAATTGGGTTACTGGTGGTAGCATAGATGGATTCATCTTGCAATGAGATTATGGTGTAGGAAACTTTAGATTTGCATTGTTGTGTATATGATGGGATCTTAGTTGTGCTATTATCGCTTTATCTTACAAGCACCTATTGATATTTGGTAGTGGTAGTTTTTCCCTTACATGTTTCATGCATTCTGAAATGTGTGTCGTAGGTTATCATGTGAAAGTATTGAACAAAATATTAATATTTATTATATTTGTATAAAATACTTGGTAAATAAATATATATAACATATTTTTTTATTATAACTTTGATATTTAATTACAAGATAATAATGTAAAAAGAAGACAATGGACAATGTAGTGAATATAATAAATTAATAAATTTAATTTGAAGGTAACGATACAGCTATGTACTGAGACGATGTCCCACCTGACTCAAATGCAGTTTATCTATGAATACAACCCATTGGTTGACCTTCAAAAAAAATTATCTCTTTTTTATTTTTTTTTATAATGAATGATTTTTTAAAATAAAGGCATTATAGACATCTAGTTTTAAATTAATTAAATGCATATGTATTATTTTTTGTTGTACTACTAATTTATTTAATTTAATAAGAGTAATAAAGTAGCGTACATAATTTTCATCAACAATAATGAAATCATTGATTTTTTTTTTTTAAACTTACATTCGTTGTTGAGACAAATTATTTTGAGAGTTTGTCAATGAGAATTGTTATAAATAGAGGATGATAATAAATAATTCAAAATATACAGTTAAATAGATATTGTTATAATGATATAATAAAAATTAACTTACAAATTTCTTTAGAAGTTTTCATGCATTGATAAAAGTCTGATGTGTAAACTTGTTCAATTAGAACCAATGGGATGCATGTCAACATTGTCAGTTCTTTGAAAAAATGGTCTTACCATTTTAGATTCCAGGTGTAATTATATTTATAATCAAAAACTTTGTAGTTAGGTTGCACATGCATGCCTGACAATGATATAAGAATAATTTTATTTGATAAAAAAAATAATAGTATAAAATTTGTAAAGTAATGTAAAATTTTACTATTATAAAATACATACAAAAAATATTAATACCATAACGACCTAAATCATACCAATAATGCAAAAGTATAATTGAAATATTAAGTTTTGTTCTGATCTAAATAATCAAAAGAACATTAATTAAATGAAGAAAAAAATAAAACTTAACCTATTTTTTTTTAAATGCATAAAAATCAAATGATTTTTAAAGTTCTTGATTTATAATCTTTGATGCTTAACTTTGAATGTTATGTATTTAGTCGGATTATTTGACCAAAGTTTATGTTAAATTATATATATATATATATATATATATATATATATATATATATATATATATATATATATATATATATATATATAATATTCGTAATATATGTTTAACAATTATGCCAACTCTAATTGGGATGAGATTCGAACCTAAGACCTTTCTTATATAAATTAATAAGTTAAAAATAATAAATAGTTAACGAAATATTCCGTTACTAAAGTTTATACTAACGGAATTTAGGTTCTTTAAGGGAAGAAAATAATATAATAGAGGGCAAATAAGGAAAATCATTAAAAAAAAATACTAAAATCAAAATAATATGAACCATTCGTTTTAAGAAACAATAGGACCGATATTTTTTTTTGTTCCGGTTAAGGGCTTAACATTATTGGCTCTTATTAGAATTGTAGAAATTAAATAATAATTTAGTAGCTATAACAAAAAATAATACATATGCATTTCTTTAATTTAGAATTATGTGTCTACAATGCCTTTATTAAAAAAAAAAAAATTTATTCATTATTAATAAATTAAATAAGAGAAATAATTTCATTAGTTATATTGTCTTTATTTTTCTCCAATATAAAAATTCTTTATATTTAAATTCATCAATTGATTATATTCGCTACATTGTCCCTACAATGTCTTTATTAAAAAAAAATTATTCATTATCAATAAATTAATTAAGAGAAATAATTTCATTAGTTATATTGTCTTTATTTTTCTCCAATGTAAAAATTTTTTACATTCAAATTAATCAATTGATTATATTCACTACATTATCTATTATATTTTTTTTGTGCACTATTTTTTAATTAAATATAAAAGTTATAATTCAAAATAATGGTATATATTTATTTACCAAGTATTTTATTAATACCATGAAAAAATTTAAAAATATATAATTAATATAGCCAATCATATTAACTACTTTAGGGATTTGTTGACAAAGAGAGTATTCAAATCATACAATAAATTGAAGTGAGAACTACCTCGCAATGTCCTTGTTTGACAATTAGCAGTTAGCGGTTAGCGTTAGCGGATTTGACCAGCGAATTATATCAACAGTTGGTAAAAAGATATTTGAAAAAATTAGCTATTTAGATTAACATGTAAACTGACCTAAGGTATAAATCATAATAATAATAATAAAAATAATAATAATAATAATAATAATAATAATAATAATAATAATAATAATAATAATAATAATAATAATAATAATAATAATAATAATAATAATAATTGTTTTAAAAAAAATAAAAAAAATAAAAATTTAATAAAAGAAATAAAATTTAAAAAAAAAAAACAAATAAAACATATGGGGAGCCGAACCTTAGTTTTGCCCACATGGGAGCCTTGAGGCTCCTATAAAAGGAGTCTTAAGGCTCCAATTTAAAAATTAAGCTTGTCCATCCGTTGATGGACAAGCTGTAACACCCCGTGTTACGGCCTCTAACCCGGTCTAATTATTTAGTTGATTACCGTTAATAATAATTAGAAAGGATTTGATTGGGTTAGGATCCCCTTAATTAATTGAGGTGGCCCACCATGGATCATGGACCCTTATCCTTAAACCAAATCCTTAGTCATATAAGGAATAGGATAAGTGAATCCTTACTATTCAGACCCTAGTTAGGACTCCTAAATATATATAAGGACTTAGGAAGCATTTAGAAATCCCACCACAATTGATTCTACCACACAAGTTATTCCCAGGAATTCCCTTGTCACCAAACATAGGAGAACCCACGAGGAGAAGATCTTAGAGAAAGAACCTTAGTAGCCAAGGATTCTAATTAAGGCTAAAAGGTAACCCATGTCTCAACAAAACCTATTTTCCTCGCTATATCTTATTCATTGGTTCCTTTGATATATGATTATGTGCATGAGTCTTGATAGAGCTTTGCCTAGGGTTTATATTGTGTTTATATGATAATCTTGATGTTTATGTGTTAATCTTGATGTTTATGTGTTAATCTTGATGCTTATGTGATACTATGATAGGTTATATGAATGATCTTGTGTTTCGATTATGTCTAGAGCCCTAGGGTAATAAACATGGATTTCGTATTATGATATTCTTGGTATGTTTGGGTGAGAATTTGCATGATCGGGTGTTGAGTCTTGGCATGATTAGGAATCGTGTTAGGAAGTATTTGGTGTGATTCTTGGTTTAATTCCGTTGATTCAAGGTAAGGATGCAACCCACTAACTTACCATTACAATCAATATTGGCCTTGTAGACCATCAGAATGGCGCCAACAAGAAGTCAGTCAAGGACCCCTGAACCCTCCGCTCACGAATCTCTAGCCCAGAACCTACAACTGACTCGGGTCGCCCAAACGCTTAGCGACGCTATCCTCCATAACAACAACCGACCACCACCACCGCCAAATGGAAACTCAGATGTCGCTTGCCAAGTCTCGAACCATCGCCCGCCCACCTTCTCGGGAGAAGATGACCCCACGATCCTCGAAGAATGGATCCGAACCTTCGACAAGATCTTTGGAGTAGTAGAATGCCCGGAGGAACGCCGCGTAGAGATAGCCTCATTCTACTTCGGACACGAAGCCGATCTTTGGTGGGTCCACGAAGGACCTACTTGTAGGCAAGAACCAGGGTTCAACTGGGAGTCCCTAAAAGTACGACTATGGGAGCGGTTCTACCCCGCACACATATGGGCAGCCATGTACGAGGAATTTCTCCACCTAAAACAGGGGATAGCCACGGTCATTGAATATCGCAAACGATTTCTCGAGCTAGCTTGTTTCTCGCCCGAATTAGTGCCTACGGAAACCACCAAGATAGAGAAATTTGTGACGGGCCACAACTTCGAAGCCCGAAAAGCTCTAATCGTATGCAAACCCCGAACTCTTAATGAAGCCTACACCAGCGCCC